AGAATAATACAGAACACACCAACTAGAGATGAAAAACCTTCCTATATTCCAGAATAATACAGAACACACCAACTAGAGATAATGAAGAACCTTCATATATTCCAGAATAATACAGAACACACCAACTAGAGATAATGAAGAACCTTACTATACTCCAGAATAATACAGAACACACCAACTAGAGATAATGAAGAACCTTCATATATTCCAGAATAATACAGAACACACCAACCAGAGATAATGAAGAACCTTACTATACTCCAGAATAATACAGAACACACCAACCAGAAATAATGAAGAACCTTACTATATTCCAGAATAATACAGAACACACCAACCAGAGATAATGAAGAACCTTCCTATATTATTTTAGAATAATCTAAATGATTTAAAACGACACTTCTGTACAATATCTATTTACAATTAAAAGGAATACAACGTTAAAATCTTACATAATAAATAGTTATTGAAAACTAGGGCTTTCCCCTATGTTTCTGTATCTTATGACACCATCTTCAGAAGTAACAGTAAGCTTATAATCAGTTACATATCTTAAACTATACCATCTAGACTTAAACTATCCAGAGTTACAACACATCTGTCCAGTACTTTATAATTTCTAGACCAGGTCCAGCTTTCTTGTTTAATACGATATCTTTATTGTTGTTTTTTTCATTTTCAATAGTTTCTCTGATATATAATCCTATTTCAAATTCTACCTGTTTTATCAACTTAGTGTTAGTCCAGTTTATAACATGAGATTGTTCCACCACGTTCTGCTAATACTGATTCAGTTACATTATATTTGTGTATCGCGTTTTTATGTTTATAATAACTATTCATTGTGTAATGATTTTAACGTTAAGTTCCTTTAAATTGTAAATGAGTATAATTACCTCTTGGGTTATTTTTAATCTTTAAATAGCATGTTCGATAGAAAAAAATATTCTTACATTCACAGTTTACGTCATCAATGACAATTTGAACGTTGTCTCTCTCTGGCGCTGAAGCTCGTCGTTCAGTTCGACACTTCTCGTCACGAGGAAGATCAAGGGAATGGATGCTAAAATTGCTATCCGAGGAGAACGAATGGACCCGTAGCAGGTTCTCGGGCACGGGTACACGAGGCAAGGCTCTACCGGTGCTGTGTCGTCTGAGGAGATCTTCACTTTGCGGGTAAGGTTGTGACGGCGGGTCGATGTCGGGCACGGTATTCACGAAGACACTCGGGATGCTTCTTCTGAAGGTTGAATAAGAGTACGCCTCGTGGTCATCGAGCGAATGAGATTTATCGACGGTCACGTATTCTTCCGGAGAACTATCCGGTGTTCCGGTAAGGTTTACTTTATGGTCTTCATCAAGATCTATGGTGTGTCTTCTGGACTTCTGTAGTTTCTTCGTAGGTTTTCGAACTGCTAGCCGCTCATAAGCGTAATAGGGGTCATAACGTTCATGTTCACTACGGTCATTCACAGGTGAAAGTTCTTCACTGAAGTCCGAACTGTCTGAGCTCTGTTGTCCAGGGACACTAGAAACACCAGTAGATTCGGGTTTTTCGTTTGAGTGACCAGTTACATAACTAGTACACCTGTTTAATGCTTCGACTGAGCCACCAAATATTCTTCGGGACGTCAAGGGAGGTTTTACATCCCTTCGAGCCTGAATATCCGGTCTGTTTAAAGTAGGATCTGAATCTGGCTCTTCAACATAGTATTTCTGTCTCTGAATTCGCGACCGCTTTCTGATCCTGTTTTGTCTTTGTTTTTCTTCAAGGTCCTCCTGAAAACATTCATCTACAGAACTCTCAGACGCTGAAGAATAACGTTGCTGAGAGTGATTTTTTTTATGATGATGGTGACCACTGTTCGTGCTATTGTATAGCGCATGTCCAGTTGGACTCCCTCTTGAGCTTCTTCGATATTCAAAGAAAGATCTTCTTTCTAACGCAGCGTCCAAAGACAAGTGTCCATCCCTATGATGGCTAATAGTTCTTTCAGGAGAAGACGATCCTCGGATTTTGCTGGAACTTTCAAGAGACTTCTGTCTGTCGACTGGCGGCCAACTTCTCAACTGGTTTTTCTCATCGTTCTGTTTTATTCCCGTAGAATAACGTCCCTCCAAACTGAAGCTCCTTTCTGACTCTCCAGCCAGTCTACCACTTCGCCCTTTCTCCAGACTCCTTGGAGGCCCACCTTCCAAGTTAATTTTTTCCTCCAGGTCAACTGACAATTCCGGAAGAACAATTGATTCCTCTCTTCCCAACTGCTCCATTCTTTGAGTCTAAAGGGGGTCAGAAGTTTTACAAAATATATTATGTTATATGTAATGTATAAAGAACTTGGATGAGCGATAGGACGTAGCGAAGCAACCGGAGAGAGAAATCGCTCCGATTTTTATCAAATAATAATAATAATAGTAAAATTCTAAAAAAAAATATTTAAATGTTGAATAAAATTAATCAAACGAGACCTCAACGTTTTTTACTTGCACAATAATTCATTTGTAAAGTTTAAAAAAATATGAGTTAAAAAAACTTTAAAACTCTACAAACGAATTTTCTTATTAACCTATGTACGCGTATAATTTTCTTTGTTTTTAAAATGGCGCCATTTACAGCAATGATTTCCCAAACTTTAATTCCGTTTAGTTCATCCTTTAGGCCCGGC